AATTAACTCTTCAATATAAGCTATGAAGTAGTAGTTGGTTGTGAATTATAGTGGCACCAGCTAGCCCCTCTATGATTTAAGGGTCTTTCAGTGCTTCTAAAATAAGCCCTTATTTTCAAGTGTTTATAACAGATAAATTCTCTTTTCCTGGCTAAAGCTTCTGTGAAAAGCCTCAGCTTGGGAAGATAGGGTTTTTTTTTTTTCAGTTACAAAATCTAAGTATTTTGACCCTTCAATTTGGAGGAGTGCAAACGTGGAAGTAAAGTTTTAATTTTAAATACTTTCAGTGCTCAAAAATAATGCAATCATTGTATTGTATATAATGATTCATAGGTTGGTCATTCATCATAATTGACTACAGAATTTATATAAAAAAGGCAAAAAGATTCAATCTTGAATTAAGTCTGGGGGGATTTGGCCACTCTGCAGATGCATTGAGTTTTAGAACAGTAATGAAATTCTACCTACAACGCAACTTTGAGCATATGAATGATGCAGAATGTTGTGATGGTTGTTAATGTGCAGAAGATCAAAGCTATTTACAAGGAGTGCCTACAATTTTCCAGTAAGATACAAATTAAGATCACATCATATATATATATATATATATATATATATATATATATCTCAGCAGAGTAGCTTTAGCTTAGCGGGGGAGGTGGGAAGATGGGTGTGGGTTGTGCAGAGTTAGTGGGACCTTGATAGAAAACTTTATAAACTTTTTTCACTTCAGTAAAGATTTGTCTTGCATCTTGCTGTCATTAAAGGCAGTTGATCCTAAAATTTCAATCACTTAAATATACCCACAAAACAAAAATATATAACCTCCATTTCCCCTGGACTTTAATTTGCTCAATTATACCTCAGCATTGTAGCAGCATTGTGTACCTGACACAGTGCTTTGATCTTTTCATACCCTTTGTACTGACCTGAAGGAGATCTAAGAGTCCTTTCTCCTTTTGACTTTGAATCACAGCCTTAATGTGGTCTTTCTTGCTTTATGTCCTTTTTCCTAATGTAAAAGTGTTTTAATGCTTCTTGTTTGTATTGGGTAGCATGGGGATAAGATTTTAACTGGTTATTCTTGAATTGCTTCTACAATAAACCAATTTTATAATCTTTAAATTCATCAGCTTTTTACATTTGTGTTCTTTCCATTTAAGGCTTCTTAGATCTAGTTATGATTAATGGAGCACATTGATTTGAAGTTTCAGATCTTCCAAAGCACTATTTTGTAATAACTATTTTCTAAACATACTGCCTTAAAAAAACAGTAAGAAAGTGACTGTGATACAAATAATGTTCCTGTTCTAAGTATTCGTATTAAATAGATCCATTCTCTTGGAGCATAACAGACTGAAAAATATCAGTGATTATATAAGCCAGAATTCATACCGATCAGTGTTGAAACTCAAAACAGTGCAAAAACAAAAGGCAATATCCAGTGATTAACAATTTCATAGCTTTTGTACATCTGAGAAATGAGTAGTCAGATGAATTTTTATCTTTGCATGTTTTTATAAGAATTGTGGATGTGCCTACCTTAACAGTTATTTCTTGTATCTTGAAAAATATTTTCCACATTTTAAATG